TTTAAAATGGGTTCAGTGTCCTGTGTTGATTTGCCTGCAGTGGGGATGGGGAGCACAGAGTTTTTAAAATGGGTGCAGTGTCCTCTGTTGATCTGCTTGCAGTTGGGATGGGGAGCGCAGAGTTTGTAAAATGGGTGCAGTGTCCTGTGTTGATTTGCCTGCAGTGGGGATGGGGAGCACAGAGTTTGCAAGCTGTTGGGAGCCTCTTATTTGCGACTCCCTTACCTGCTTCTCCATCTCAGGCAGCGCGGCGCTGGACGCCTGCTCGCCCTTCTTGGTCCGCAGGAGGCGGTTCAGGTCCTGGACAATGTCCTTGGTGCTGAACTCGGCTCTCTTCCTGTCCGACACCAGCATCCCCCCTTGCTGCACCACCTGAAACACACAGCCAATGAAACCTCTGCCGCACTCAAACACACCCACATGCAAAAGAGCCACACAGGGCCCGACAGGACGTCACACCTGCCTGCGCTGAACCACAATGAAACACGAGCCCGGCATGCAAAACGTCAACAACAGGAAAGTACAGCAAATAAGAAAAGGAAGACAAATCTGACTCACTCGAGCGAAAACGAGAAGAGAGGACAGGCTGGAAGTCCTGTCGATTTTTATTTGAACTTTACAGGTGTGAAAACGTGAGAATGTCCAATAGTTTGAATAGAGCTGAATAGTTTTAGGTGCACACGAGAGAAACTTGTACGCAACGCAACTGTTCGCCCGTTTTGGAAACGTACCTGTCTGAGCCTGGTCATGTCCCCCTGAGTCTCCCCACTGGGCAGCACACACTCCTTCGGCCCGATCTGCACCAGCAGGGCCTCCAGGTTGGAGAACTGGTCGTTGTCAGGGAACTCGAGGACTCCCAGCCTCCGCAGCGTGGAGTCCACATATCCCACGCCCACCGTGCGCTGCCCGTCCCCTGAGCCCAGCCGAATGCCCACCACCCCTGCAGCCCCTTCGGGGGAGCTGCTGCCGAACAGGATCTCCTCAAACTGCGTCAGGTTCCCTGGAGATGCCTGGGGCAGGACAGAAGAACAGGAGATGAGAGGTTTGATACGTGTTCATTTAACACATGGCTCTATCTAAGGCAGCGTATAAGGGGAATAAAAATCAAAATTAATGTGTTTGTTGTAAATATGAAAAAACACTTTCTCATAAGAAATGTAATAAGTCATATTGTGCAATTAGTACGCCCACTGGAAACTTTCTAAACATTGCATGCCACCATACTAAGGATCAGGTATTTGAGACCGTGTTTGAAAACTCTTCTAAAAAGGTAATATAGCTTTTTACACATTCACCAGTTGTATTTATACAAAACCCTGATGTTCCTGATGTCCCCTCCTATACACAAAAAGCACTTTGGGATCCTTTGGGATGAAGAGCTATATAACCTCTAGGAATTAATAGTAATACTCCACATACTAGACTTCTCCTTGCAATAGTGCTGTTTTCATCAAATGAATAAAACTTGCTACAGACACATACCTTTCCTGTGTTTTAGCAGATTGCTTACCTTATGCACATGCAAATCAGTCCTGCTGTGAATGCAAAGGACTGAGCAAGCCTTTTGGCTTCACCCTGACCATAATAGATCTGAGTCATGCAACTTTCCATATATTTTTTTTGCTTTAGGTTTAATGTGATTGACAACAAGTAGTGTAAGTATACACAGGATACTGAAATCAACTTACTGACCTCATTTATCGTAGTCAAAATGTTAAAGAAAGGTTACTACTTGAAATACTTAATGGGGAAGTTACTGATACCATTTGAGACGGAAACAATTTGAATTTTAACAATTTGAGAACTTTTACAATAAAAGACGAGAGAAATGCCTTGACATTTGGGTTTAATACTAAGAAAACAAGACTATGGCATGAAATAACAAAAACAAATGCACACGTAGGTGAATTACTACATAGGACAAAGAGGACTGCTTTTCAGAGCAGCAGTAGTGCTCTATTCACAGACAGCCACTCGCCCTCTCCCAACCCCTTCCCAATTAGACGTAATGGCGCAATACTTCTAACTGCATCATCACACTGGCAACACCAGGCAGGTAAAACACTATTGAGGCATCTTAAACAGCTACTGTGACTTCAGGTTATACAATGTATCCTAAAAGCTAGTTAGATAAATTACTTATCCCCCCTGTTGACTGGAAGGTGTTTTTTGCAGATGCAAATATGAAATAAATGACAGGGTATGGAACACTATTGTATCCTATTGAGCATTCTGTGCAATTACCATCCATTATAATAACTTCTCTGAGCAGCACCTACATCTTCCACCCAGCAAGGGGAATGTGGCTGGTAGAGAATGAGGCCACTGCACGTTTTGTAAAAGGTGATGGTAAAATGCTGTGCTTGCTTACTTGAAGCCTTTTCTTAAAATAAAAAGCTTTGCAGCAATCAGTACTTTTATATTACGCCCAAACTCTCAGATCATGAGCCAGTGTTCCTGGACTTTGGGCTGCAGTCAGACCTCTCCTCTGCCCCCACTCTTCCCATTCCCCACGCCCAGGCTTACCTTGCATGCCAGCTGCCAGTCATGGTCCTTGCCACTCTTGCTGCTGGCCTTGTTCCTGTACACCTCCACTCTGTACTGCCTCACCAACAGAAGGTCCCTCATGAATGACTCAAAGTTCATCTTACTGAGAACAACGCTCTCCAGTTTACGGCTTCCTGAAATAAAAATTGAGCTCCCGGTGAATCATGACACTTCAGGATACTGACTAAAATAAATAAAAAAAGAGAAAGTGAAGTCTTGGGTCATTTTTCTCCCCATGTCCTGGTCGCACTTCTTGTTTTCCCTGTCACTGAGATGCTGTGTGAACAGGCAAGGACCAGGACACACTCCACACTTAGCCAAGCCTGTGCGGCGTGATAGGATGGCTAAATATTATCCAAACAGAACTACAAGACAGGACCTTTAAAGTCTGAAACACTGCAGCTGCCGATCAAAACAAAAATGTGTGTTTGTGAATTAATGAGTACATTCCTGGAGTCTACTGAAAAGTGCACATAATTCAGTCATATGTGTTGGGTTGATTTTTGCCTAAATGCAAATGAGGAAATCCACAGTATTTCACCATATTGATATATCCTACAGATTAGTATTGTGCACATTTGTCGTAACATAAAAAATATACAGTACAAAGATAACACACAGTAGAAATGTAGAATGGTCTGACGTAGAATTGCAGTTTTCTCTCGATATTTGCTAGTCTAAACGACTGCGATATAGTACTGCTGCGATGCCAACAACATTCCGAAAAATATCAAAAGGCTCACACCACAGAACCTGCAATTGTTCACACAATGACTACACAGTCATAACAATCATCATACCGATGGAATCAAATGGATGCAAATAATGATAAGATCTACATCACTCACAGCCTACAGCCACCTACCTGAGCCAAGATTTTTAATAACCCCATTTGTTTTGAAGACTTCTTTTGCTGCAAAAAGCGCATCTTTCCCATGCACAGTATAATATTCGTTCCGATCAAAGACTCGCACAGTAGTGTCTGGCTTTTCTGGCATGGAATAATAAAAATGGACAAATCCATTTTCTGCTGCACTATCCATAGACAGATTCTGTTTAGGTTGCACCGCCATGCTGGAATCTCCCGCCAGACGCAGCAGACGGGGTCAAAGGGTAAGGGGCAGTTACCAGGGAAACGGCGAAAAGAACGTAAGGTGTTACGTCATTACGTTCTCAGCGTAAAAGCCGTAAGCAGAGCGGTTAGAATTACGATAGTTGGGTGATTTGGTATGTGCTATAAACTCATACGGAAAGATTTTAATTGCGAAAAAAACCGTCTAAGTTGTATTTTATTATTGACTTTTCAAGCATGTAATCTAAAAGTCAAGGTACTGTAATGAGAAGTAAAAAATGAGTGACCGAAGTTTAACAGGTACATAAGACTGACAAAAGTATGTTTTTGCTTGTATATATAATAAAAATAATGAGGTTTAAGATAGATGTTTCCACTAACAGATAATTAAATTAAAAGCAGTTAACACTAAACTTATTTAGGTATTTTTGCGCTTTTAAGAAAAAAGCGAAAGGCGAAAGGCTATACATTTTGTATTTACATGTATCTACTGTGATGCCGTAGTGGTTACCATTGCTGCCTCTCGTCCCTGGCTCACTGCGTTCAGTTTCTGGGCTGCTATCTGCATGGAGTTTGTATGGTCTCCCCATGTTCACATGTTTTTTTCTCTCGCAGTCCAAAGACACACTGGTACAGTAGGTTAAGAGGCTTCTGGGAAAATTGGCCCTGGTGCGAGTGTGTGTCTGTGTCTGTGCCTCGCTACAGCAGTCTCATCCAGAGTATTCCCTACCTTGCACCTACTGCTTGCCGAGATAGATCCCAGATACCCCACTACCCTAAATTGGGAGAAAGTGGTTATAAAATGGATTAATAAAATGCTTCAAAACAATTTTAGCACGTTTTTTTTAAACACAGTTATGGAAGTTGAACGTTGATCATATTTTCATGGGTGTCACAGAGGCACAGAGGGACGCTGGTTTCAACTCCATACCTGAGATGCTATCTGTATGGAGTCTGTATGTTCTTCTTCTGTTTGCATGGGTTTCCACCAGGTGCTCCGGTTTCCTCTCATGGTCCAAAAACAGTGGTAGGTTAATGGGCTTCTGGGGAAATTGGCCCTGGTATGATTGTGTGCGTGTTTGTGTGTACCCTGTGCTGGGCCCTGTGCCCATTGCTTGCTAGGATAGGCTCCAGCTCTTCTGTGACCCTGATAAATTATAAAATGGATGTATAAAATGTTTCTGGCGTCACTATGATTCATTGATCACTCAAGACTGTGATACATTTCAGTGACTGTTGCATAAGTACTGTAGCACTCTCGGGTTCACATGGGTATGCGCCCCCACCGCTGTGGACTCGAACCCAGGCCTCCGGCGTCACTCAACAGGGACCCAGCCAGTTGAGCTAAAGGGAAATCTCCCCTCAGCCCGACAGCTGTGGTCCCTGCTGTTTGCAGGGAAGGGCAGTGACGTCACCGTGCTGGTAAGCCGACTTGAACAACCTGAGATGCCAGTTGGTGCGTTACAGTACTAAATCATCTCAGTATGAGACTAGATTGGGTACAAGTGATTTCACTTGTCAAATGACAAGTCTGGTGAAAGGTAATAAATAAATATGCCATACTTATGAACATGCCACCTTTGTGCTATAGGTATGTTGAAGACAGAGCTAAATCAATTCAGATGGACATGTCCACAGTGGGCTAAAGTTCTCTTTAGTAATAAATCAAGGTTTTGTGTAGACCACCCTGATGAACATCAGTGAGTGTGGCAGAACAATATGCTAATTGTAGACTTTTGTTTTAATACGATCCAATTCATACACGGAATTGCCCCAGAATAAGATAATGAACTTCTCCATGTCATAAATGCACATTGCTGTAGTGTAAAGCTACACTAATCAGCTCTGTAGTAGTATTAATTGCAACATGGACATTTACTGTGGAGTGAGCAGTTTCTAACTCCCTGCAGCTTAATTGCATTCAATGAATATGCAGAAATGAAATGTTTGTGGTGGAAGTTGCCACTTCTTTCCATGCATGTGGAACATAGAATATTCTGGGGGGCAGGGAACTTCCTGCTGCACACAATTTAAACAGATGGAAGAAAATATATTTCACTGTTGAATAGAATGGTTTAAAAATGTAAATTTGGGTTCATTTTTTAAACTGAACTACTGCATAAAGAGAAGTCAATTAAACTGAAGTTCATCTGGAACTTAGTTGCTAGATTTTGGATCTTTGCATCTGGAATAAAACATTGGACATTTCCTATGATTTCAGCAGTGTCTCCATCCCATGTGAGAATATTGGTGCAGTTTTTACCATGACTTTCATATATGATCTAAATGAACGTAAAAATCCAATAATGGTACTACACATTGGCGGTAGAGTCCCCAATACCTCTCAAGTACTGAAAGCCGAGCGTCTAGAACAAGGATGCATGTAGTCTAAGGATTGTTAGTCAGAAACATGTACTGTACATAGCAGGGGAGATAACACTTCTAGACCTTGCTTTTTAGTTCTTTTTGAAACTTTCCACCAAGAGAACCAAAACTCCTTTGAACCTCTGAAGTAGTGTACACATTTGTGAAGGGAAGAATCTGCAAACCTGGTTTAATCCTAGATTTGACTAAACTTTTGCATCCATGAGGTACCCACCTTAAAATACTTAACACACAAGTTCACCATTGAGTTAGTCAAAAGACCAGATCCACAAGAAACTGAATAGAAATCGGACTGCATTGCACAAACACTTCATATTCCACAGTATTCATTAAGAGAATGCACATGTATTTCCCTTTTTCAGACATGGAGAAAAATAAAATAAAAGCACAGCTTTTCCCAAACAGGAAACACTGAATCAAAATGAAAGTCACATTTTTATAACCTTTTATTGTTTTTTTAAAAACAGTTTAAATCACACTTCATAAGACCAGATGGATTAATGCCTACACCTTTACCCCCCAACTGTACAATAACATCCCTTAAAAAAAAATTCAAGCCTAAACCTAATTGTTAACAGCAATTACAAATAGGGAATTTATATTACAAAAGTCTGAATGCAGCCATTCACTTATTTAAAAACAAAATCCACTCTAAGGACAAATTTTACAACTTACAAGTCTAAAGCATATAAATAGTTTTGTAAAGTAACAGTACACCCCAAAATGCATAGTACATAGTCTTGTTCCAATAAGTCCTCAAATAAAAAATTAAAAAGGAATGTCCTTAGTGAGAATGTGTACAGAAGTGGATTTTCGGTATATGGTCATGTTTATACTCTTCTTTCTCCAGAGGCAAAGGACCAACTTATCAAGATCACGAGAGGGACTTCTGCATCTCATCCATCTCCCTGACCTGTGAAAGAATTGCAAATTATACAGGAGCAGAAAGAAATTCAGAAGCCTCCCTTTCATTAATTCAAAACCAACCTGCATTTAAGTCAACACTTGTTCCCCCCTAATTTAAATCTCCATGTTAACTTGTAAACCAGAAGGCAATCTAGTCATTGGTGGATATAATAACCTGTTATGCACCATAACAAAGGAAAACACAGAAGACAGCTCACCTGAGTTTTCTGGTAGTTGGCACGCTCTCTCCTCCTGGCAAGGTACTATTAAAGAGTAGAAAAAATAAGCCCTCAATTAAATTCAGCAACCTTGGGAGATGAGTTTAAGGTTTGAGAGGTAACAGGAATCCCCCCCCCCCAAGAAAAACAATGAAATCCTCACAACACAATTAGGAATGGTTTGATTAATGGTTTTTACCCAAATGGATCCTATTCCTTCAAAAAGGAAAGTTTACCATTTACTACAAAAGTAGGATTCAATTTGTATGGCTCAAACTACAGGTCAGGGCTACGCTTGCATGAAATCCGGGTGCACAAGACTTCATATCTCTAGGTGGATTTCCTTCATATACATTGTAATAATTGGAAGCTGCTCCAGGTTGCTTACCAGCACAACGAGCCCAGCAACTACTGCCAGAATGACCACCACAATGACTGCAATGACACCCCCGGTCAGCCTCTTCATTGTGAAGGTGGGAGGTTCACTATCAACATAGTAGATCAGGATGTTGGAAAAGTCCAGGTCCTGGGTTCCAATTCTTGGTGTGAATTTGGATTCACTAGTGAACAGAGGCAGGATCTTGATCTGGAATCCCAGAAAAAAAAAAACAGTTTAAACCAGAGTATCACCATATAATTGCCTGTGTAAATTGAGTAACCCACCCTTCCCCCACCAAACCACCATTCTTCAAGCAGACATGCACTGCAATGGTTTTTCTAGGCTCAGACGCGAGAAATAAGTGCCACACTGACACGTGACTTGACTTACATCTTTCTCCATGTAGTAAGCCACAGTAGCAAGGTCCTCCTTTCCATTTTTCTCCTTCTGCAGGTCTACAACAATCGTTTTGCTGTTTTTGTCATACTACAAGAGCAAAAGACTTCAGGTCAGTTCAATAAAACATGCAGTTCCAAGCAGAGCACAGGTCAACAGCCCAAAGGAATATTAATTTGCCCCCTTTCCATTAATATCCAACACAAAATGAGGGGTAAGGTTCTGTTTCAAAGAACATGGAAATATGTTCAGTTTTATGAAAGGTACACAATATTCATTTTATTAAAGGAATCCTCCTTGCTCAATTTTTTTTATAAAGCCACTTACTTCAACTTTCTGCACAAGTTTCTTGTCCAGGTTATAACGCTTCTGAATGGCATCTGCGATGGCACTGTAGGACAGAATCACACGTTAAAAACCCAGAGACAGCCTGCTTACAAACAAGGAAGTAAAAAGAAATATGCACCTACCTTTTCAGGATGTTAGCGTCAAGATCAGCTTGCACATCTTTATGTTTGAGTTCAGTCCTTATCCAACTGGGGGAAAAAAAAAAGGTAGTTTTTTAGAAAAGTTACATTAAGGCTGTTCCCAAGAATCAAAATGGTAGCCCGTTTTAGAATACAGTACACAACCTATACAGATTAATTTGCTTAGAACCAAAATAATCTCTACAGATCGGATAGCATTATCCAAAAAGGATCACCCATGTTTCAACAAGAAGGTAGTGTAAAATGTTGCACAACTTTGATCAGAATGCAAAAAGTTTATACACCCGTTTAGAAGTTCCTCATCTCTCTCCCCCCCCCACCTTAAAACTAAATAAAAAAATTGCAGCCATACTTACTAAGTATCAACCAGCTTCTCACACTTGAGGTTTTTATCTCCCTTGTCGGTTCTGCGCACACCTGCACTGTTGACACACCAGCATGTGTCAGTGTTGTTGCACTGCTTGGCTTTGAAGATGCCGGTGTTCTCACACTCAGGATCATAGATTCCATCATTATCCACAAAGGCGTGCTCAGTGGGCTTCCCAGAGATTGAGCGAGTAGACAACCCTTTCTTCGCCCGGTACATCTCCGCCTTCATCAAAAAGCACTTGGGGACCACTGCAGGAACAGGAAGATTGAACGCTAAAGAACACAGATGTCTCCCTGCAGCCTTCCACACCTATAACTTGCCTTATATGGGTTCACTGAAATGGTACCATAGAACTTGTGTGAAATAACGGCCACCCACTCTGAGCGAAGACTTACCACAGGGTCCAGCAATTCTGTGAGCTCAGCATTTTCAAACTAGTCTAGCATGGATGTAAAGTGTTTATTTTACAGCCTACAGCAGCTCTGCTCACGATCCACACCATTCCGAATTTGATTAAAAGACTTCATTTGAATCACATGATTCAGGGCCACACAGATTTGTATAAGTAGTTCTGGAACAACCAGGGCCCAAGTTACATTCTATTACAATTCAGTGTTTGTATTTCTGATGCTGAACTAGTTCCATTCAAGAAAGAGGGATTATTATAGCACTAAACTTGCTTGTGGAACCATTTTGTAACACGCATATTCTAACAAACCTAAACCCAGAAACTGATGCCCTGTGCTGTGTTCACAATACAGTTAAGAGGTTTGAATGAGGATCTGCATCATTATCCGTTGGCCCCAGAAGAATTAATATTTAATTTGTCCCTTAGCACAATAAGCCTGCAGATAAAGGCCAGGCATGCAAAGGAGGGGTTACTTACAGACAGAACAGTTCACACTCTGCTTGACATTCTCTCCGACGAGCAAGGTGCAAGGACAGCCAGCGCCATCGCACGTAGCCCATTTCATTGTCGCACATGGCTGGCAATCTACAGAAAAACAAAAAGAAGGAAGCTGTAAAAGACACGTTTATAATACCCCATCTGATTTTCAGTAGCTCCTCTGTAATACCTTGACTCCCAAAAATGTTACCAAGAAAGTAAATAAAATACTGTAGAGCAAGAGGACCCCTCTAAGCTTTCTAACACGTAAAGCTATTATTCCAGTGCAGTGGCTGGGCGTTGGCTTGTTAAACGCTCAGGTAAGAAACATCCGGGAACTCTCGCTCTTCAGCAGTCCAGTGACCCATTGGGAAAATTGCAGATTCTTCCGTGAAAACAACCGGTTTTGGCCTGAGATTATAACTCATTGCATCTGGATTAAACCCTTTGTAAACCCTCGAGTCCATAGTACGACTACGAACCTTTTAACCGAGAGTAGAAGTTTTAGGGTGAATTCCTTACATGCGATTAAAAAAAAAAAGTTGGCTCGAGTTAACTACACAATTACGACTAGTTGGACTTTTAAAGAGCTAAAGGTTTGAAAGCAATAAAACAAGATCATACACCAACATCCTCACAAAACACCTTCTCAGATAAAATATATAAAAAAAAACTCACCTTGCGCCAAGGCTGCTGCTATAAAAGACAGAACAAGCAACACCACCGATGAATGCATGTTTGTGAACCAAAAAAAGAAGTTCCACAAAGTTAAACCACTAGATTTCCAGAATCTGTTCTTCAAACGCCCTCCACGAACAGCTCAAGTCAAAATGAAAGACTCTCCGTCGACCAGCCTCTCCTTTCTCTTCGCAGGTGCGGTCTTCCTGTCCAACCGGTTTGGGAAATAAAGATCGACCAGTCACCCACCGCCGCAAAGCGGAAGGCGGGCGAGTTTCAAATTACACCTGAAACCTGTATCGTAAATTCGCGCGAAGACAATGAGATCCACAAGACTCCCCACAAAAGCCAAGAAAAATCGTATTTTGTTAACAGTATGTATAGTCTGTTCAGCAACAAAAGAGGCAAGCTTGTTACTCCACCACTCAACACGTCTCCAACTCTTCCCCAAACTTACTGGGCTAACTTATATACTACCTGCTCTTTGACGTCAATCACTTCCTGGCTGAAACTAAAGGTGCGGCTTAGGGTATCATTACCTCATTGCTCACCTGTCCCTACCCCCTACGACCATATTCGTATCTTCCTCAAAAGGAACAAAAGGAAGAAAACAAAATTGTCAAAGCGTAAGATGGCTTAGAAAAAAAATCACTCACAGAAACTATTAGTCACGAACATATTTTGGAGACCTAGACTGAGGTTTCATGTTTTAGTTCCACTTATTTGGTTTGGCTTTAATGAAAATGGGCAAACTTTATTGTTTTTTTAGGGATTTTACATAAAACACTGAATTGTGTAACCTTTTAGAAATATCGCTGCACTTCGATTAACAATATCAGACTACGAAGTATACGTTTCCAGTGTACAGCGTTGCATGTAATAGAAAAAAAAAGTTTAAATATGTTTCTGCTTTTGGAATTAATATTACTTTTCTTAATTGACCAAAGTAGACATTTTCGGTATATCTAGTATTTAACCATTAATTAATGGCAGAATGACCATTAATGGTTAAAATGGTTGATATTAATACAAACCTACCGGTATCTAGCAATTTTAAAACAAAAAACAACTGCTCTCCGCTCCTATTCATTAATGTCAAGAATATATAATAATCCTGAACTGCTTTGTACTCACAATGCAAACATTTAACAACATCTCAGACATTTCACTTTATTCACTCCCCTGGAACAAAGCACTCAGTGTTTTTAAAAGACTAATAATCAAGGTGTTCTGCTGTAGGTTGTGTTTTATTGATTTTCCAGTAACAGTTTATTAAGTAAAAATTATTTATAACCTGTCTCTTATTAATAAAGATTTAATACAGCATCAGTAATCTGGTTCTAACTGGTTTCTTCCATTGATTTATGACATTTATAGACAAACATCATGGGCAGAGCGGTGGCTCTCTGGCTAAGGCTGGCAGGTTGCCGGTTTGTATCTCGCCGCTGACAGAGGAATCCTACTCTGTTGGGCCCCCGAGCAAGGCCCTTAACCCCATCTGCTCCAGGGGCGCTATATAAATGGCTGAACCTGCGCTCCGACCCCAAGCTTCACTCTGTCTGTGTGTCTCAGGGAGAGCAGGTTGGGGTATACAAAAAGACAAATTCCTAATACAAGAAACTGTATATGGCCAATAAAGTGATCTTATCATATAGTTTTTCGATTGTCAAGACATTGTCAAATTCCAAGTATCAGTGTGTATGGAGAATATGCACAGCCAGCCAACTAACCAGTCCCTCTAATTCACTGGTAATCAGGAGTGGGTGGTGGCTATTTTCAGAGGAAACTATGATATATGTAGAAAGACGCCCTTCTGGTACAAAAAGAAATATTCTCATCACTAAAATTACTCATATGTTTACATCGTCTCAAAGACTTTATTATCATACTTACACTTATATTACACTAAAAGGTATACATTTTACATTTCAAAATTTGGAACTGGGGCTACTTATTATAGTATATTAATATTTCTCTTTACTAATGTATGCATCTTTTGATATTTCATGCACTAAGCAATTTAATTACAGTGAATAATTAATAAAAAAATACATTTTACAGATTGTGATAATTATTACATAGGGTGCCTGGGAAAAAAGCTTCCACTAAATACATTGTTGCTTGCATCGATTCCTTACAGCTTAGGCCCCAGTGGTGTTTCTTGTAGTTTTGCATGATCTACCTGTGGCTGCATGGGTTTTTACCAGAGGCTCCTGTTTCCTTCATCAGTCTGAAGACAATGTCTAGCTCCATTTCTCTCCTGCTTATGATGTATGAAGCTCTTCATGGAACATAAGAAACCTTGAATTTGATCTTCTGCATTCATAACTTGTCACAGTGAATAAGTCTTGGAAATGGTCAGTGCTTAATATAATTATGTATTACTTTAATGTGGGTATAGTTTTTTTAATGTATCCTCATTCCAGAGCCATGCTACTGCCTTTTTGCTTTTACATGTAAGGATTTGCTTTAATTTAAGACTTCCATTGTATGCTTTTCTTCTTTTTTAATTTTGTTCAGTACTCTGTGTCAACAATTTTCATGGAAAACACTGCATTGCAATGAAAACCTGCACTATAATTAGTATATTTCTCAGTTACAGACATCAAAAGTATAACCTGAGCGTTAGAAACCACCTCTCCGATTTCACCTGCTCGTATCTGGAACTAGAGGAACTGACCACAGCTTTCAAAATCATGGGGGGACCATGCAAACTCCAAATAGACAGGCTCCCAATGCCAGCACTGAAGCCCAAGGTTGTCAAGAGCAATATCTGCCATTCCACCTTGCAATCCTAATTACACAAGAGAGATGAGGTAAATATGTGGCTGCCAGAGTACCTGGATCACGTTCCTCTTTCTGGTGTGATTTTGTGATGAAAGAAGTAATTAGGACATATGGTAAAAGCAGTTATTATAACAGTCCTAGTTATACTTTGTATCTAGTAACATTGTGTTTGTTGAAGTGTTTGTGTGTGAAATTACTGCTTTGGCTTCTTTTGGATATCACTAGACGAAAGATGGGAAAACAAAAGTCTTGCATAATTCAAACACGCAGAAAACTAACTAGAGAAACTCCAGTTCCCAACCTGAACTATTACAGCAGTGAGAGGAACAGAGCAACTGTCTTGCAGTGCTGAAGATGTGAGGCTTAATGCTAGGGCAAATACATCCTCTTTTAGGAGATACGCAACAGTAATCATACAAAATAAAAAATAAAAACATTCTGCTGCAGTTTTTTAAAATCGGTTTGTATTAGTGGAACCAAACAGAGCAAAGCTGCTTTGGGTCTAGACGTCCAAAGGATAAGAATAAAGTGAGCAGAGTGTACAGTGAGGAAACTACAGTGAGAAATGGAAACAGAAATACATTTCTGACAATATTTCTGACAGATGTGAGCATTGTTTACCAATATTCTGTATGTAGAGCTCTGTGCACTCTGGAGGTTTCATGGGGTTAAAGGCAGTAAAAGTAAAGGGCTGAGTGCGTTTGCCCCAGACACATCTGGCCAGTTTGCCTCAGCACTTTTCAAGCAACAGCAAGCTGGAAAGAGCTCTCTGAATGCTGTCAACCAAGATTAATTAAACTCTGCTGACAGGAACTAGGAGTGGCTGTAGTTTGTACCTCACCATAACCAAAAAAGTTTTTTCTTAAGTTAAAATGTAATTGACATAGTACCTTAAACATTATTAATGTATTGTTGTATTACTGTGTTAGTGTATTATTAATGTATAAGTAATTGCTTACTATATATGCTATCGTGGAGCTTTGATAAACTCTGAGCTGTGAAGTGATCCATTTTGCCTACAGAGAGGCTGTGCTGTAGATTCTCATTGAGCAGATATTAAACTCATTTAAATACTTATACTCTATTAAACTCATAAAGCTTACTTGAGTGCTTATTTATTTGTAGTTAAATGGACATGTGGTTCAAGCTGTTCTTGGCAGCTGAGAACTAGGACATGTAGAAAGTTGATATATGGTATAATGTACTGTAGTTCAGGTGGGGAGCTGCGTCAGCACACGTAGGCTGCAAAGGAACAAGTAATAGGTTTATTCCATGGTGAAAGGAGAAGAAAGAAAACACAACATTTCAGCCGTGGAGCCTTCTTCAGGTGTGAGCAAGGCTCTTTTCAGCATGGAATAAACCTATTACTTGTTCCTTTGCATAATATACTGTAGTTAACAAATAGCAATCAGTGTGACTGACTCTTGGGTCCTGTTTGTATGTTTCTCCTGAGTTTGCTTGGCCATTTCAATCATTGTCTGATGCTTCAATTTTCTCCTAACCTATAAAAACATGTTGGCGTGGTTGATTGGAGTCTCTCACTGTATGTGTGTCCACACTCTACAGGGGTCTCATCCTTCATGCTGTGCTCCAACCTTCCAGTTTGCTGTGACCACCTTCACCATGATTAACAAGACGTGTGATAATAGATTGGATGGAGGATAATTCTACATTAAAATGTAAAAGGTGGGTAAGTAACACAATGTTTAAGCTATCAAGCCTCCTTCAGGTGTGTGAAGGAGAGAGGGAAAAAGCAAGAATGATATGAGATATGAGGCAAAAAAGGTACTTCACATGCCAAAACAATGAAGAATGTAGAAATAATCCAGACCAACAAGTAGAACAGTGAAAAATATTTTTTTTCCCATATTATGAGAAAAAAGCAAAAAGTCATATATTTTAAAATGGCCGCTTGTTTACGTATGTATCTGGTTTGCTCTTCCAAAACCAGATTTTCAACATAAGATCATAAGATGGGGTAATTAACGAGAGGACAGCATTCAGCCCATCCTTCTTGTCTGGTATTTAAGTAGGTAAGTGAAACTGAAATTTTATCCAGCCATATTTTGAAAGAGCCCAGAGTATGGGATAGGAAGCTTGTTACTGGCACCCACAGCTGTTTGTGTGAATAAGTATTTCTTATTCTCTGTCCTAACTGAATTCCCTTTTAATTGTCACAATGAAAAAGTCCCTGTTTCATTAACGAAATAGTGAAATAGTTCCCTGTGTTGACCCTATCTATAGCGCCTTTGGATTTGAACCTGTCCATATATGACAACCCCCTGAAACAAGGAATAGATCTTGGAGCTATAATATTCCTTTTATGGTATAGTGGCCACAGTATTTAACACAACAGACTCAATGAGGTGCTTTACTAGTGCTTTGTAAGGCCCTACCATTAAGTCCCTGGATTTAAATTCCATGCATCTTGCTATTTCCAAACATTCTGCTTTTGTATTGCTTCTTAACATTGCATTGACAAGGAAGGAGAACAATCACCCACATGAAATACAGAGCATATGCTGTTACTGTGTGCTTCACTATGCTCTTAAATTGAATTTTTCACGTTTCTACCAACGATAAGTGTTTGTGTAATTCTTCTGTCGCCATTTCTGTTTGCCACTCCCCCTGAGATTGCATCATCTGCAAATATAGTTTCCTAACTATACCAGAACCTAGATCGTTTTCAAGTCGGTTCTTCTTAATAATGTGTATATCTTGCTCTGTCAAATACTGTATAGACAAATTGCTGTAAGGAACAGTTAAAGTGCATCCCATAATATTTGTTTCTCGAACAAATTTCCGTTCTCGCCAGAGAAGTATTGTTATCACACTTTATCTACTTACAGATCATGTTCTGAGTTCGCCATTTGCAGGGTTCCTCATTAACAGGGGGAACCAGTTAATTTGTTTGAGGAAGACTGAAGAATTACGTATCAGCTAAAGATAAAAGAAAAAAATACAAAACAAAACAACCAGCTGTAGCTTAGGTAGGGTAGTATACGTTTTCTCAGGAGGGTGTAGACCGCAGAAGATGATTATAATGTAGACCTGGGGAATCTCACCATAATGTTTGATTATGTAATTCAGTGACGCGCTCATGGGAAACACGACTTTTTTCACATACAGAAGATTTTAATCACATGGGTGTTACCAGTTAATACCTGCTGTGGTTTCTGGAACAATAGAAATCTTCAAGACAGGATCTTGAGTGCGCCCAGGCTACCTGTGAACCTTTTCCAATGCAGCAGAAATTGGCTATAGAAAACAGCAGTTACATACTGCTTAGACAGCATGGCTGCCTGCTAAAGCACTGTCTGAGTAAAACACACATGCATTGCATAAATAAAAAAAATAAATAAAACACACATGCACTGGAGTATTCGAAACCGTTCGAGATGTTGCACCCACACTGTTTGAGTGAGTCTGAAACAAAATAAAGTCCTCCAATGTTGTGTTACAATATAAAAAATGTAGGTTAAGATGCCTCTATGTCCATAACTGCAAAAAAAAAGTGTGAAAATCAATTAAAACCATACACCTCTAAAGAAAACAACTTAAATCTAAAATGTTTGTATTCTTTGCTGAAGAATTGAATTTCAAGGTGTGCTGTAAGTTTCCCCTTGCGCAACGTAGGCTTTGTGGCAACTTGTGGAAAATGAATAATATATTTCCCAACCATGTGTGTGTTAAATTCCCATAACAACTGCGAATAGTTGTTATAAATAATTACAAATTCTGTCTTTGATTATTTATTTTTTCACAAATCTTGTTTTTCTACGCATTCCGAAGATTTTCCACAAACAATTTTATTTGACAATAATGTAGAATGATATAAAGGGAGTGCTCTTTTCTATTATTGCAGTTCTAAAATTCTAAAATTTAAGTTACGAATGTTATTATCAACAGTGGTGAGAGTTATCGCCGCCGCGCTGCGGGTCTGAACTGAGAGAAGATGGTACATCCACTGTGTATAGGGGAAAGCCGCACGCCCCTGTCTTGATTCACACCGCCGCCGTGCGGTAGGATGAGTAATTACTTGTCTAATCTGAGTACTGAACACTTGGACTGTGAGTGTTCAGTCACTATACAGGGCTGAGAGATCCTTCAATCCCAGTATGATTACAACAGCGTGCATTAATGTTTTCTGCTCATTTTTATCCAATATATGCACATATTGAGGGGGCTGATAACTCCTTCAATGTTAAATTGTTTCTTCAACAAATAAAAAGTTAAAATAAAAATCCAGTTTTTAGAATCTTTTCTAGAATCTAGAATTTTTAAATTGATGTAATAGAATAAGTGTCTTTAAATGACCTTGTTACCTAATATTTCCAAGTGACAAGAAAGAAAAGTTACTTTGTCCAGCAGGCATAGTCCAATCCAATCTCTGCCTCTGAAACTGGGAAAAGAATCAGGGTGTTCCCCTTTTGTGAGACAATGGTTTAAAATATCACTTGTTTCTAAACCAGTGTCTGTGATTCCCAGGAAGTGTAACAGTATTGTATATGTAATGGTACAGTTACAGAACAAGTTATTAAACTGTATATAAAAGTGTAGAATATAGGAATAGTTTTAATCATTTCTGTTCTAAAGCGGAATGAGTCCATCTTAGTCTCAGACTTAAAGATGAGGTAAGTATACTTTATTTTAAACTGTTTTAATTTTAATAGCTAGTATAGTTCCGAAGTGGAAAGGAGATATTTGTCGGTTTTGAAAAATACAATCTGAATTCATTTAGGAGAATAACATTTTAATAATTGATAATAACTGGATTCCTACTATTGTTTTACAATAAAGAAACAAGGAGAAAGGGAAAATATTTGATTCATGTTAAATATAGGGAATGCAACACTAAAATGTAAGGAGATATTGTATTTTATAAAGTTCAAGAAATGTATAGGATTTATAGCTTAAAATGCCATACATATTTATTTTCTTTTACGTAAGAAAGTTCAATAGGCTTTTTTCTATGAAATACATGCACTGTACATTAACTATATTGGTAAAAAATCTTGTTCTTGTTTACAAATAGGAAAGATAAGACCTCTTTGTGTTCACTTATTTCTCAAGGCGGAAAGTAAAAACAAGTGGCAAAAATAAGTAAAAATCACATTCAAATACTTACTGTTGTGTTTATAGCAAAAACAATTCTGCAAATACAGCTGAAAGAGATATTATAATTGCCAAGAGAGAGTTAGAGAAGAATATTGCACCAGAGGCTTAAGCAGTTGTGTACATTTTCAGTGAGTGTTTAAAGAATTTAAACATTTTTTAAATAAACATCTTTAAATGTTTAAACATGTTTAAACATTTAAAGAACTGAAAAAAGTGGTCAATAGTTTGTGACATCATAAGGGTTTTATACCTGAAAATGAAAAAATACATTTTCTCAGTGAACAATTTGGGCAGTGTTTTTACAGATGAATATATCAATAACATGCCCACGTTACAGAAGTACTTACGTCAGGAATGAGTGATTTTAGGATAAATGACACTGGGGTGAGACAGTTTAAAATTATATGTTCATTCTAAATAAAACAAGTGATGTTGTTAAAAAAATCATTTTTAGATAAAAGTATTTCATAAGCCTTGGATTTATGACAAACAGTTAGTCATTTGTCCAACACTGTAAGTTTATCTAGGTATCGGAATATATGGCAGAAATTGGTTTCTCCCATAAAGTACATCAAACATTAAACACACACAAAACAAAACCAAAAAATCACTTAACTTACATAAAATCACATCAAGATGCGTAAAGTCATAACAATGGTACATAACATAATAAATAAGGAAATAAACTAGAAGTGGGGCAAAACATTAATACTGTCATTAAGCAGTTTGATTGCACAGGGAGCACAAAACTTCTTATAAACACTTTTACTTGACTTTGGTTCCCCGAACTGTCTCCCTGATGACAGGGTGAAATCAACTGATAAAATACAAGTACAGTATATCAATAATAACGGAAATGCTGAGAGTTGTAAGCATGAATAAATACTGAAACAGATAATATGGGAATAGAACTAAACGTTTTTTTTTAGTTGATCTCAAGTAATAAAACTGGGATACTTCTTTGAAAATATCCTTTCGTAGTTTCCCTGAAAAACCTGGCTCTTTGTCTCCTGGATGTGAATGGAAAGTGATACTGTTGCTCAGGGGCTGTAGCAGTATCTGAATGTGATACAATATGTAATACTCTTTTCAAAAGATACCTCCAGTTTGTTTTTAGAACAGGGATATGATCAGTGGTATACAATGGTGAAGTAAGCCTTGGGGCTGTCCTAACATTTAAAAAGAAACTTTAAACCTTTTAAGAGTAACCTTTATATGTAACCAGAATCATGGGCAATATTTAGATAATAGAATATCACCAAGTTACATTTTCAAGATTTCTTACAATATTCCTTTATTTATTTAACAATGTGGTGTTCTAAGCACGATACCCAAGGAAGAATGAAAAACTTCAATACTTCTTTCCATTTAATAACTGTGAGTCTGTTTATGTTTAGGGTGCTTACAATGTTAATTGATCTATTCAAACAATTTCCATTATAAGCACTTGGATTAACAACAGAGCACCCTAGTCCTGTTTCTAGAGTGAGAGTGCACAGTTCAATCCCAGGGTCAAGTCTCATAGACACCACTGATGCCAGTGCCCTCTGTCGAGTTCTTTCTGCACACGATGTGTTTCCCAAGGTCCTAACTGGACCAAATTGAACTGCTTCAATTTTCAATTTTCACAATGCAGTTGTTTGAATGGGTCGGTTAACATTGTAAGCACCCCATACAGTACGTATATACTGTTTCTCTCCATCCATGTACTGTATCAGTTCATCTGTGCTTGTATAGATCTGTTTATCTATACCCACATGATGGAAACAGTGATTAAAAAAGAGATTAAATAGACTGATAAGTGTCAGGCCTGGATGGCAAAGAGTGAGAGAGGTGAGAGAACACTTTGTGGAAGATCGATACATTAGCCAACATTAAAGTACTGAGGTGTGGCTTTCACCAGTGACGAGCCACAGGAAGCGCAGCACTGAGCTGGAAGGGGTCATCTTTTACATCTTCAACAAGCTGGGGTTTCAGGAGTTTTATTGATGTGGACCTCATTTACTTTTTTTTCCTATTGCATCTTCAGTACCCCATTTTTTCAGGAACATGTTTCATTTTGTCACTGTGCTCTATATGGCTTGTTGTATGCAACACATTCAATCTTCTCACAGCCCTGACTGCTAATGAACCAAGCTAGGCAGTCAGAAACCCACATCAAAACATTTGTGTCTGAAGATGTTATGTTCTATGTTGGAACAGGTTACAAAGTCATATCTTATATGACATGTTTTGCTATTCTAGAAACAGGACTTGTGTATAAATATAAGAGATCAAGTAAAAGCTAATTGAAGTAATTGCAGAAAGGAAACAAATACAATGCACTTGATGTCTTACATGTGCTATTGTGTCAGCTTCAGACAAGATTGCTACTATCTTCAACCTGCATGTCAAAGCATGTGCTCTGTGTCCTCTGACCCCTCCCTGTCTTCCAGAATCCTGCTGTGCGTGACCTCACTGGTGGTGACACTCTGCTCCTCATTAGCTGGTGAGTGACTGCAAGAAAAAGTGAATCCCTTCTAATTTCCGTTGCAACCCAGAAAAATTATGGGGTTTTCAGTCTGAAGTATCCCAGAATATATTTCTTTTAACCCTTTACTTCACCTGGGCATGAACTCTGTATTGTATTGAGTAGAATCTAGCATCATTTTGCTGTTTTCTGCCGTACTCTTATCACAATGTGCTCAAGGCAGGTACAGACATAACTGTGATTGTATGTTTACTTTTTTTTTGCAGCTGAACTGAGTGACTGTCTCAATGTCGGCCAGAAATGCCACAGCGATGCGCAGTGCATGAACACGATGGCAGGGGGTGTGGTGTGTGTGTGCAAGATAGGGTACAATGGGAATGGAATCCAGTGTGCGGACGTGGATGAGTGTGCCACGGGCTTGCATTCATGCCACAGCAAGGCCACCTGTGTCAACACACCAGGTAGCTACAGATGTCTGTGCCAGTCGGGGTACACTGGGAACGGGGTCGAGTGTGAGGATGTCAATGAGTGTCAGGTTGACAATGGCGGCTGCGACACTAATGCCATCTGCACCAACACGGCAGGGAGCCGGAGCTGCCTGTGTATGACTGGCTTCACTGGAAACGGATTCACGTGCACTGATGTGAACGAGTGCACGAGACGGGGGATTTGCCATTGGAATGCCACCTGTACTAACAACCCCGGCTCTTACACCTGCACGTGCAACAGTGGATATAAGGGTAATGGGAACTACTTATGCTTAGACATTGACGAATGTTCTGAGACCCCAGGAGTGTGCTCTTCCTCATTTGGGTACAAAGGATGTAAGAACCTCCCTGGTACTTACCAGTGTATGTGCGACAGGGGCTATGAGAACAATGGCAGGACATGCTCAGACATCAATGAGTGTGCCAGCAGTTTCTGCAGCCCTTTTGCCATCTGTATCAACACACCAGGCTCTTACAGCTGCACATGTAGCTCTGGCTTCACCGGAAATGGTTTAACCTGTGTGGATGTCAATGAGTGTGCCATTCCCAACAGCTGTGATCCCAACGCCAACTGCATCAATGTCCTGGGTGGCTACAATTGCTCTTGCAGAACTGGCTATGAAGGTGGAGGAAAGTTGTGCACTGATATTGATGAATGCTCCACTCCTACCATCTGTCCAGCCAGTGCCACTTGTGTGAACACAGGAGGATCCTTTAGATGTGACTGCAGCTCAGGGTTTGCCTTCAATGGCACTGTGTGCAAAGACATAGATGAATGTGCGCTAAACCTCTGCAGCCAGCATGCCACGTGTGAAAATGTTCCAGGTTCCTTTTCATGTAAATGCAAAGCTGGCTATAATGGCAATGGTACTGCATGCGTGGACATTGACGAGTGCTCACAAAGCAGCACACTGTGCCACACGGATGCTCTTTGTGCCAACCAGCCTGGTTCCTACAGCTGCAGTTGCAAAGTGGGCTACTCTGGTGATGGGGCCACACGATGTCAGGATATAGACGAGTGCAAAGTTCAGAATGGTGGTTGCCTTCACAATGCCACTTGCATAAACAGTAAGGGCTCCTTCTTTTGTCAGTGTAGCCGTGGATTTCAGCTTATCAATGGAACCATTTGCCAAGACATCGATGAATGTCAGATAAGCCCAGGGCCTTGCCAGTCTAATGAACAATGTGTTAACTCACAGGGTTCTTATCAGTGCCTCTGTGAAAAGGGTTTCTCTAAGTCAAGTGGTGGAATTGTTTGCACTGACATTGATGAATGCCTTAGTAACCCATGCCATACCAATGCCACTTGCCTCAACACTTTCGGTTCGTTTGTCTGCACTTGCAAAGCTGGGTTCACAGGGAATGGATCCCTGTGTGATGACGTCAATGAATGTTCCCCAGTGGGTGTCTGTCACGCCAGCGCCTCATGTACTAATTTCCCTGGGGGGTTCTTCTGCCAGTGTTTGGAGGGCTTTGATGGAGACGGCTATTCCTGTGAGGATCAGAATGAATGCACCATGTCAAATAGCACTTGCCCCCTTGGTACTGTTTGCATCAATTCTCCAGGGTCCCATGTTTGTTCCTGCATAAATGGCACCATTGCATATAATGACACTTGTGCACCTCCCATACTAAAGTGCAATCCCATATGCGATCCTAAGGGATTGTGCCATTTGGCTGCAAACAAATACCAGTGTGTATGTGATGTTGGGTTTGAAGGAGATGGATTGAGCTGTGCTGATATTGATGAATGTGAGGAACATGTTTGTCCAGAAAATGAGACAGAATGTGTCAACACACCTGGATCTTTCACCTGCATCTGCAAAACAGGATACAGACAAAATGGAACATCATGCATTGGTAAGTAAAAACACATCTAGAGCATTTCCAGAAGGCCTTATAAAATACAAAGGCTGTGATGTGCTAAAAAAGACATATTAGTCTTGAAGTCTGAGGAGGATTTCTTCAGTGTCTGACATTGAGTTTAATTTTTTCAGGTTAAATAATAGAAAAGGTAACCAGAGTCTTGAAAAATTCTATTAAACTGCATTTTTAACATCTTCAGTGCATTTAAAAAAAAAAAAGATTTATGATGCCAGCTGTCTTATAGATTTTTTATACTTGTCATAAAAACAGACCACCTTCATGGAAATATCTCTGGTTAATTAGGAGAGAAGTGGTTAAGACTTTAGTCATGTAACTGGAAGGTAGTGGTTTCAAATCCTCAGTGGGACACTACTATTGTATCCTTGAGTAAAGTCTTGCACTCAGATTGTTATATATAAGTGCATATATAAGATATATAAGTGCATATAACTGCATATCCCTTGGAATAAGTGCTTTCTGGTATAAAAAAAGATTGGTATAATCAGACACTTAAACTAAACTGAATCAAAGTTAATTGACGAGCCTCAGTTTTAATTGACTTGACACCACAATGTGTAGTTTGGGTTTCTGTTTCCATTCACAATTCTGTTCATGTTTTACTCTTGAACAATCACTCCCCAGACGTGGAGGAGTGTGTGGATGGCAGACAGGAGTGCAGCGAGTTCGCACAGTGCGTCAACACCCTGGGGAGTTACTTCTGCAAGTGCCTGAGTGGCTTCACTGGAGAGGGAAAGAACTGCTCTGGTAAGGCTCAGCCACTTCCTGATTAAACCTTGGTTGTTTTTCTGTGTTTTCATTTATGGATAGATTACTTTGAGATGTAAACTCAAACCTTTTCTGGACATATTCCCTGACACTTTACATTTTGGTGATGAATTATAGACATTGATGAATGCCAAACCCAAAATGGAGGATGCTTCCCTTCCGCCAACTGCACTAACATGCCTGGAGCCTTCCGCTGCACCTGTCCCACAGGCATGATGGGCTCAGGATTTGAGTGTCACGATCTGGATGAATGTGCACATGGCTCGTCTCACAGCTGCAGCAAAGATGCCCTCTGCCTCAACTCGGTAGGGTCCTACAGCTGCCAGTGTCTGACGGGCTTCCAGGGCAACGGCTTCAGCTGTGCCGATGTGGACGAATGTGACTCGCCGTCTGCCTGTGAAAGCAATAAAGAGTGCAGAAACACACCGGGTTCTTACCTGTGCTCCTGCACAGAGGGTTTCTTCTACAGTGAAGGCACGTGCGTGAACATCCATGACTGCCAGAATGGCAGCTCGGTCTGCCATCACCACGCCGACTGTGTGGATCTGCTGGGTTCCTTCTACTGCCGCTGCCAGCCTGGGTTCACAGGCAATGGCACCCACTGCAGTGACCTGGACGAATGTGCCTCAGGTCTGGAGCGGTGTCCCCACAGGGCCAGTTGTCAAAACAGCATGGGGTCATTCCACTGCAATTGCTGGGACGGCTTTCAGGCCAACGCTACGCACTGCAACGATATCGACGAGTGTCTTGACGATGCAACATGCCCTCCCGACAGCTCATGTGTCAACGCAGAAGGGGGCTACTTTTGTCAGTGCCAGGCAGGCTTCACAGGCAACGGGTCCCTGTGTGAAGATATAAATGAGTGCTCTGCGCCTGGACATAGCCTGCTGTGTGGTAACGGGTCGTGCATCAACACCCCCGGATCCTATGAATGCTTGTGCAACGACGGGTTCCAAGTCAATGAAACTGACTGCATTGATATTGACGAATGCTCTCTGAATTCTACAGAATGTGGCATCTACTCCAGCTGCTTCAACAGAGTAGGTTCCTATGAGTGCCTGTGTAATAGTGGCTTTATTCTCCATGAGACGAGCTGCATCGACGTTGACGAGTGCAACGAAACAGCGAATGCATGTCCCGAGGAAGCGCTCTGTTGGAACACTGCGGGTTCCTTCCTCTGCCAGTGCAGCAGTGGCTACGAAGGGGAGGGACAAGTCTGCAGGGACATTAACGAATGCCTGAACAGCAACCCCTGCTCCAGAGGCCAGATCTGCATCAACACGCCCGGCTCTTTCGAGTGCTCTTGTCCAGATGGATTTAAAAACAATGGAAGCTCTTGCACTGATGTGGATGAATGCCTGAATAAGACGGGCGTCTGCCATCCATCTGCCAAGTGCATCAACCAGCCTGGATCCTACCGCTGTGAGTGCCTCACAGGTCACTCTGGGGATGGGGTACAGTGCGATGATGTGGATGAGTGCTCTATTCTGCAGTCACCTTGCCACAAGCAAGCCCAGTGCGTCAACACCCCAGGCTCCTACATGTGTGTGTGCGCTGCTGGGTTCTTTGCAAGTGGCACTATCTGTTCAGACGTTGACGAATGTGAGATGGACAGGGGACCGTGCCATGCCCATGCCACTTGTGTTAACACAGTGGGGAGCTTCTCCTGCCAGTGTAATCCAGGCTGGACAAGGAATGGGAGCACCTGCTTTGACATCAATGAGTGTGATTCTGCGCTCTCCTGCCCAGCCCACAGTAGCTGCGAGAACTTACCAGGCTCCTATAGCTGCACCTGTTTGGCCTACAGCACCTTCTGTGATCACATGGCAGTGAAGGGTGTGTTGCTTTTTTTGTCGTCTCATACTCTCATGCATGTGAATATATATTTGTAAACATCCTTAGTTATACATCCTAAACTACTGTTTCATTGTTGCATTAACAGCAGTAATAACTGTACATTTGTATAACTCTGCAGGATTTATGGCTAACATGTTTAAAGATTTCTGCAAACATGCTGCAAGACACCCTGAGGAATAGTTTTTTCATCTGTGGAGGATTAATTACATAATTAGAGGTATCCATATTTATTCTAGGCCCAAACCCTTGCAGGATTTTTTAAGCCTGTATGATAACACAGTGAAAGCTTTTAAAGGATCTACTTCAAACTATGGTGCCCATCTCACAGTTTTAATAAAGTTAATTTAATCTGCGACTTAATCGGTCTTCCTCTTAAACAAATTACCTGAAAATGTTTGCCATTGATTTAAGGAAGCCATTAGAGGTTGGAGAACTGTGACATTTTCTGCACCTAATACAATTTAAAAATAATACCTATAAGACACACTATCTTTGCTCTATTTGAATATATTACTCCAGTACCCAAACATATTTGAGCTAAAAATGTTTATATTCAATTTTTTACAGACAGTGCTGGTCTCTTTTCAAATAAGACTTATAAAATCCTGGTCGTTTGGGCCTGGTATAAATATAGATACCTACAATTATGCACAGGAATCCTCCACAGAGGAAAAAAAAATGATTCTGAATGGTATCCTGTCGGCAGGAATCTTTAAGGATTTTAGTCATACATCCAGCAGGATTTCTACTTTGGTTAAACAGAATGATTTTCTGGAATTGTGCATAGGTTTGTGTGTAGAATGAATAGTAAGAAGAGTATGAAGTATGAAGAGGGAAAGTTTTTATTTCAGTTAAAGGTGCCAAAGGTATATTGCGCACGTGAAGGCTGTGTGTACAGTATGTGACTGGTAACTGTCTCCTGGGCAGAGAGTGTGCTTTACCCTTATGGAGAGACTGTGGGGGACAGGACAGTGCAGGCAGCAGGAGCAGATGTCACCTCCCCCTATATTGTTCCACCAATGGGTTTCCCTTTCCTGGGGTCACTGTGGGACAGGTTGTATGTAAGTAGCAAATGGCCATTATTGTCAATGTTCCAGAATTGTTTCCAAATCTTCCTTTCATTGTCTGTCAGGCCAAAATGATATACAGTATATATTATATATAAAGGTAAAATACATAGAAGGGATTATTTAGATGTATTTTTGTGCAAAGTGTATAAAATGTATTGTTTCCACGATAACATAATGAAACATAAATTGCATGTTTTTTCTTCAGAATAAATACTTCGTTCCGCCATAAAACATACGTATCTGTGCAGCTGTGACCTGCCAAAAATATGCCTTCAGTGTTCACAGCTGCTGATAGAGGAAAGAAAAAGAATCAAGGTTTGCCGTCTGTCTTGTGCTAGTTTTCAGACAATGGCTTGATTCAGTTCCAGTCTGTGGATACCAATGAGAAGTACCTTTTTCCCAGCCCATACCAGGATGGATTCAGTGGTAATGAAACCATTCCCATGTTGGCTGTGTTCTGGAATGATGCCGATCTCACCCTAGGAGAAGGCAAACTGTTTTATCAGGTAGGCCTGTGCTAGTGGACTAGTAATGCAAGTTCCCAGGTTAAGTTTTCAAAAGATTTGCTATCAGTGGTGCCGTGGTTATCATTGCTGCCTTGCAGTGCTGGGGTCCTGGATTCAATTCCAGAGCTGTGGTGCTATCTGTGTGGAGTTTGTATGTTCTGCATGTGTTCATGTGGGTTTCCGCCATATGCACCGGTCTCCACACACAGTCCAAAAACATACTAGTAAATAAATTAGCTTCTAGGAAAATTGACCATGGCGTGAGTGAGTGCTTGTCTGTGTCTGTGTGCCCTAGAATGAACTGGTGTCCCATCCAGGGTTAACCCCACCAGCTCCCCAGTGACCCTGAATTGGAAAAAGCGATTAGAAAATAGATGGAGAATGCTCCAACTTTTTCCTTTTGTGTCACTAGGAATACAGCCAGTCAAGCACCTTGGATGTTTATTCCCAGACTGTGTTGAATCGAACTGCAGCGGATGTGAGCAGGTATTTACAGCATAAGGGGGATTCAACATTCACACCAACATGGATCCTGAAAATCACATGGGATCATGTGCTGCCTGTGTCCTATCAGAAAGTCAACTTATCTGAGGTACAGTAGTATGAGCAGCTCTTGTAAAGAAACCTTTTAAACCTCCCTAGAGTTCACACTTCAACTAAAGGTACACTGAGTAGTTAAAGGCTCCTATGGGCTGGTTTTGAAAATTACCACGTTCTTCAAATCCAGCTCATGATTCAGGGGTATGTCAAATCTGCTACAAAATGCTAATTTCATCTGTATGTTGTATAGCACAATTCCCAGATCCGTACCACCAGAGATTTTTAAGGTATATATCAGCTCAAACCACAGTTTCCTAAACAATATGCAAAGTGTGTAGAAATAAGTTTGTTTTTAGACATTAGAGTCTAAAAATATACAAAGTCCATGCAGATAGCACCCCTTGGTCCAGAATTGGCCCTCAGAAAAGATTATGTGGATGATCCTTTTGAATCTTTGAACCCACTTGACCATGCAGGATTACCCCTTCAAATAGCTCCAGTTTCCATTTGATCTACTTTTTAAAAGCAGAGAAAGCTCTTTAGATTGAACAGCACATTTCAGGATCTGGGTTGTAACCTAATGAGATCAGCAAGACAATGATGACTATTGTATTCAATATTGTATATCACTGAAACATAGAAAGGTAGCAATATGACAGGTTTGTGCTGTTCAGAGCTACACACATTATGGTTTGATGTCAGCATGTGTTCACATGATGTTCTGTTAACAGAATACTGCAAATTCATATTACAGTATAACTCCGTGTGTAACTATGAGCTCATAAAAGACCCCAAAGCCATCTAGTATATGCTGCCATCTACTGTCCTTTTTGATTCCTGACAGCAGTTGGCTAGTTTCCATTATGTTACATCCGTTTAGGAAAATGGAATGATGTAATGCGTCAGTTAATTCTTTGATTTCTCTAATTCTGTGTAACTGTTCTTGTTGTAAACAAGATTAAAGTAACCAGAATTAGATGATCTACCTCTGGGAGTGTTTTTATGGAACATTTAATTCCACCCCAATGTGATCCTTGAAAGGAAGAGATATAAGAGCTCTTCCTCTCCACTGTCTCCCAATTAATTAAAACTGAAATTCACTTTGCTCCCTGGATATACTTAACAGAGGAAATGTAATTTGTATAGAGGATGCAGCCAGTTATGCTGACAAACTGACAGCGACATTAGACAAATCCACTTTCATCTTATTTGAAAAGTGTCAAGTTGCAGTCACGAATTCTTTTTTTTAAAGAACCAAATGCATCCTTACCAAGAAGCTAACCTAGATATTGGATATCTCTGGTACAAGACATTTGTGAAAGACAAGGAAAGAAACCAAATAACTGTCTAGAGAGGGCATTCACCATCGTACTGTTTGTGTACCACACATCCTCTCAATAACTATGCTTAAATGAAAATATGAAAGAGGAATTACTAGAAAGTATAATGTTTTAACCTGTGCTTTTATGGTTTTCCCAGACAAACACATTCCAGTGTATCCTGACCACGGACGGCTATCAGTCCTTTGCACTCCTGAAGTTTGGGGACATGAACTGGGGTCCCGGGCAGAGGCTGTTTCACAGAGCACTCAGAGGATATACTGACGGGAAGGATGTTTACTACAATGAGCCTCATTCCCAGCAGAACAATACCTATGGGCCAGGGGGCAGCCACAGACCCCACCAGGCACTAGGGAACACGGGGCAGTTGGGCCAGTGGGTGTATGAGCTGAGCAGACCTGCTGTAGAAAAGGAGACAGAGCCCCGCGGGAAGTGCCAGCTTTGGGCCCAAAGAGAACCACCCCCTTCATCCTGGACTGAAGGCATTCCTGCTTGTCCCTGTCACAAGGCCCAGGCTACAGAGGACCAGAGTTTCATCCTGGAAACTCTGCCTTCCAAGCAAGCACCTATTGTGCAGCAGCTACGTGGTCTGCGTGCCTCTGGGCTCGTCTACCAGTCTCTCCTGGCCAACCGCCATGGCGCTGGACAGAAGTGTGTGTATGACACCGAGGGCTATCTGGTGGCAGGATACAGTGAGCGCTACTTCACAGTCTCCAGTGTGCAGGATTACATTGGTAAAAAGGCTCTTTTTGTCTTCAGTTCAAGTGCTTTAAAATATATACATATTTTTTGGAGGCCCTATAAATCACCTACTCCCTGTCTTTCCTAATTGCCCAATTCAAACCACCCACAACCCCACTTGAGGATAACAGTTTGGGAGATTGAAGTCTGTTGAGCTTTCTCTCCTTACACAGGGTGAAATGATCCTCTGATCAGGCAACAGACTCAACAATGAGTTGTGAACATGAACTCCACCCAGTCTTCCCAGTTGCCTTCTGATGAGGTCAGCTAAACCAATAGGAGCCTTCCACTCTATTGGTAGAAAGAACAGATACAGATATATGTATTTCCACTAATTCACCGCAGTCAAGTGCCCAATCAGCAGTATTCACAGTTTAAAGATCACTATTCAATCCAGCATTCTTAAGATACTTATCATTAACATTCTTTCTACTGCGTCACCTTGAAACCTCACATCAAGAAGGCTGATGAATGTTCAGATCTGTGACGTGTCTCTTCAAGTTTGTGAATTCACCAATCTGTGTCTTACTTGCAGAGAAGGACCTTCTGCCATTCCAGTGGTGCTGTGTGCAGTCCCCTCTCTGCCAGGTGTACTACAGCAAGAGGCCAGCAGACCGCTGTGAACAGTATGCACATGGGGCCATTGGTGAGGGCTGGTGCACAGCTAGGAAATAGGCACCCTTTTGTTTGTTTAACAAAGTGTCCTTTTGATAAATTCGTCACTGCCAGTATCTGGTTATTAAAGCATTGCTATTAACCCTTCCTTGAGGGTTCCCCGTTTTTAGCTGTCAAATGAAATAGGGCTTGCAAGCTGCATTATTTCAGTGTCAGACCAGATTAATCACACCCTTTTGAAAGTAGTCTGAAGGCTTCTACAGAACTGCTCCCATTATATACAAAAACATATAGGTTTCATTAGGGTATACAAATCTAAAATTCAAAATTAAAATCAGTCAAATTTGTTATAAAAAGCATTACTTTTGTAAGCGACACAAATAATTGCTTTAATTCTGGCTCCTTAAAGAAAGTCATGCAGGATATGTATTTCATGACTATATTTATGTGTTATGAACTTAAAACCTAACCATTTATGACTGATTAAGAATGCTACATGAAACAGGGCCTCTGAGCAAATACTTAAGATTGTTGAGATCCTGTACTTGATAGGATTGTTACTGCACTGTAAGTACCATCATGGAAATTTCTTCATGTTATATAATGTTCTTATTTGTGCAAACTACACAGGAATGCAGCGTAAAGGTATTTAAAAAAAAATCAAACAAGTTTCAACAAAATTATTTTAAGATTAAGGAAAAGGTAAGCTTAGTTTAAAATCGATGCTTGAATTATGACAAAATCTAAACCAGCAGATGTCAGTATAGACACAGATATACACCTCCTTTCTCAGTGAAAGTGTAAGCCCTCAGCTAAACATCAAGCAAACATCCGGGAAGAACACATGAAGATGCTGAGAATACCTAGAAGAAGCCACATCCAGAAATATCTGGAGTTTCTATTTTTCTCCAACATTAAGTACATTTTTAAAGTAGAAAATATTTTGCAAAGCAATGGAAATAGACAACTTCCCGTGTGCATGAAAGGGAGCATGCATGAGATTTCTGAAGTTAAAGCTTTATGATTTTCATTCCTGAGAAGTGGCTTGATGTATTGCAAAGTACAATCAGGTGATCAACTCATAGTGTACTCTTGTCATACACTGTGTTTTTGTTTCATGACTCTAAAACACTGTTGGTAATAAATAGCTTCTGCTCTTCTCAGGGCTGGTGTATGGAAGTCTGCACTTCAAGACCTTTGATGGGACAGAGTACTCCTTCAAAGGGCTGGGGGAATTTGTCCTCACCAGACTGTCCTCCAGCAACGGCGCCAACACGTTCACCCTGCAGGCACAGACAGCCCTGGTCACAACAGCAGGACAGACTTCTAGAGTCACCGCTGTGGTGCGGCTGGCAGCCTTCTACCAGGGGATTGGCAAAGTGAGTGACCCCTTCTTCCAGAAACGCTTTGGGATTTAAGAGATCGCAAAACAGAAACAAAGACCTTGAACTGGGATTGACTTTGACATCCTAGTTCTATTCAGCAGGACGCTTCTTTAAGTCAGCGACAATGGCTTGATCGATGAATGAGATACAACCACCTACACTCTCAGAACAGAAGCAATTCCTTTATATCTTAATTCCTGCTGCAACGCTACATTGCTAACAGGCATGCTGTGTACGTCTTTCTTTTGTTAACAGGTGGAGTGGCAACGCACTGATGCGGGAGACGGGCTCACTGTGCTGGTGGATGATAGACAAGTTGATGTATCAGCTGGTAAGACTGAAAAACAAGTCAGCAAACTGCAGCTCAACAGATTTTTTAAAGGGTTTATCATTCTGATAATGTTTTATCACCTCGGGCAGCTCGAGATAAACCTTCCTGCCACAGCAGGAGCTTGAAATGTATATGTTTAGCACTTGATTTTCAGAAACATGACAGAAGGACAGATGACAGAAACAGGGCTGTAGCTCTCATTGCAAGGATTTGCTAAGAAAGAGAATTTGGGATGTGAAGCAGAAGAATGAACAGAGAAAGTTTGCAATTACATTTTTATATCTAAAGCACTTTGTGGTCCCTTTGGATGGAAAGCACTTCATATACAGTATACAATAAATTTGATATAGTTTATAAAGATATTGGAACTTCATAAAAGTGTTTTCTAGCGTATATATATTGACTGGGCTGTTGCTTTGCAGGAGGAAAGTTCTTCAGCCAGCAGGGCTTTGCGGTGCGGTGTGCGACTGTGAAGCAGTGTGCTGTGGTCTACCCAGAAGGGCTGTGGGTCACAGTGTCCCGGGGCAGGACAGGATACCTGAGTGTTGTGGTGGACGTGCCTCAGTCCTTCTACAGCCGCACCGTGGGGCTGCTGGGGCTGTGGAGCAGCAAACGCACTGATGATTTCCTTCTTTCCAATGGACAGCAGCTGGCATTTTACCATGGCAACCCTCCATCTGAGGATGAGTTATACACCTTCGGCCTCTCCTGTGAGCACTCCTGCGTCTGGGCATTCGTAACAAACCACTGCAAGCCAGAGAAAGAGGGCTGGGGACAGAGCCTCAGATTTGTGGTCTCATACCAGGGCTTTTAAAGTTTCTAGAAAGAACAAATAGTTATTATCTTATTGTTATATTTCACTTTGCATCTGCATATTTATTTTCTGTGCCATTTCTCTTTTCTGCTTTCACTACTTGAGGGTCTTGTTTTCTCATGGTGTCTAAGGACTCATTTCAATACTTAACCCATTTACTGTATATCCAGAGATAATTCATTTTTTTCCACTGTGATTATTTTCTCCTGGGCATACATGGTACAGGAGCTCCAGGCCACAAAATCATGTCAATCTAGCCATTAATGAGCAGCTCCAGGAGAGTCAGGTAAATGAGGTTAGAGCTCCCATCTACATCTGGATAGAAAACCTACAGAGTTTGGTTTAGCAACCAAACGAACAGGACTAAGGACTAACAGGACACAGACTTAAAAAATGTCTAAATTACCTGCAGCAGATTTTTTTGAAAGTACAGTATATTTGATTAGACTAATTAAATACGTTATACTTTTTGCTAAAAGATTTGAAGATTTAAAGGAATGAAAAAAAGGTTTTATATGTGGAGTTCAGTATTGGCTGCTTTTGCTTGTATAACATTTATTTCAATCCAGAAGATAGATTTAGCAGGCTTGGTGACAAAAGTCGTGTTCTCCTGCTAGAGATTAGAGAACACAGTACAAATTAAAATAGGGTTCTGCAAAGTAAAAGGGCATGAGAGCTGAAAATGTAGGTGGAAAGTGTAATATAAGTAGGGCTTCTGGTTTATGGTGTTTATTTTTGGTAACCTGATACCCCTTTAAACTTATTTTGAGCCTCACATGTACTGCTGAGTACTTTGTCCTGCAACTGGAACGCAGCACCCAAACCTGTTTGATTTATAGCTCGTACCTTTAATAACCTAATTTAGTCTTTAATTAATTCATTTTGTATTTTATAATTGTGTATTGATCTTCCAACATTTGCAGAACATGATATCTGCTGCATAAAACCCTACTGCTGCATAAAATAGACATACAAGGGTACATAGTCTGGAAATACAAATTCAGCATATAAAATTATGATTTGAAGAAAGCATCCAAAAGCAGACTGTACTTTTCTTTTAACTGGGATGCATCACTTAAATACCAGTAATTATGGTTTTAAAGGGAGATTTATGTTGTTGGGGAAAGGCAATATATGTCCTAAATTCTAAATATATGATAGTTTGTATCATATGTCTAAAATGACATTGAAGGTCAAAACAAGCTGACACTTCAGTTCTTGTGGTGTATTATTTAGCAGAACAGATTAATACTGTCTCCCAGGTCAAACAATAGCTGATACTGTCCATGAAGTGGATTGAGGCTCTGATATTCTACAACTAAACACAACAGGATGTCACTCATTCCTGCACCACCCAAGTGTAGTGTGAAACTATAGAAAACCTTCTGCAGTTTTAGAGTTATGTTTTCTCTATAGCTTCTGCAAAAACTGTGGAAGTAATGCCAGAAAGAGTTGAATGGTTTCGGACTGGGATGAAGTTTCTGTGATGTGTGTGTGTGTCTGACAGGGGCTGTTCCAATACCAGAAAGTCTCCTGCAATCAGCTCCGCCCCAGGCATTCTACCCAGTCTCCACAGAAGAGCTGCTATCGGTCAGTCCCCAGCACCTGGGGGACCTGAGGGAACGTTGCCTAGGCAACACACAGTGTGTCCATGACATCCTGGCCACCAACAACACCAGCTTGGGCCTGGAGACTGCACAGTACAAGGAGAGATATGAACAGCTGGCAATCATTTTTGGTGAGTCCCGTCCGAGGTAACAACTCATCTTCCACCAGCAAAAGAAACAGAACCAATCTTTACCTCTCTCATTTTGCACAGTATTACATTGCTCTGTTTGTCTGCCTGTGATACATGTTCTTCAGGAAACATGCCTCCCATACTGACTGGCCCCATGGTGATCCAGTGCAAAGTGAACGTCACAGTCAAGGTTCCCTTCACAGCTCGGGATTCAAACAACGACTCTGTGAGCTTCTCCCTGCTCCCTCCCCGTCCTCCTGGAGTTACTTTTAGTAAGAACCACCACCCTTTCGGTTTCAGTTCATAAGAAGGTTAATAGTATTTTAAAACAATCATAAAGGTGCTGTGTTTCTCAATTATTCGAATCTCCCAGTGATGATAAGCTTCCTGTTTGTTATTCCCTTAGCTGATGGTGTGCTCACCTGGACTCCTTTCAGCATTAAGCCAGTGGTTCTTTCTGTGAAGGCCAATGACCAGCTGTCTGGCTCCATTCTCAGCCCTGTCATTCAGATGTGTAGCTGTTTTAATGGAGGGACATGCCAGTACAAGAGCATTGTAGAAAGTCATCTCGGAGGGAAATTCCAGGTAAATTCCTGGTAGAGAGACTACCAAACACATGATCTTCACTTAAGGTCTCCAATGTCCTGATGCAGATTTGGAGAGCTCTTTTCTATATAACCATGGCAGTTGTTACATCAGTGTTCGCCTGTAGTGGTCACAGGCGGTCTTCTTATTTGGTTATATAAAGAATTTCAGCTGGAGAAAGCACATACCTTCCAACTAGTCTACTTAACAGCTACACTCACATTTTTGTCGTCGACCCACTAAAGTCCCAATCCCGAAATAAAATAAGCTTTCCAGAACCACGTTTGCTTTTATCTTCAGTCTGCTCACGGAGAGGAATGCCAAGAAGTAAATAAATCAGAAGAAAACAGGAGGAGAGGAGAGTTTTAAGATGTAATTTGCAAGGAGTGCTCTCTGGATGTGTCCAGGGGCATGTCAGAGAATAAAGAGAAGTGTCTTGTTAAAGAAAACTAAAGATAAACACACACACACCTCGTATTAACAAACTGTTAAAATGTCTGGCTCGAATACATAGTGAAACCGATATGATCTTATAAGAGAGTATGTGGTCTGTCTTTAAAAACAAACAATATGGCACTGTTCCACGGCAACGTCGCCTTTATTTTTTACATATATAGACAGGAACCTTTTCCTGTGTGTGGATATCACTTTTCTTGTGAATTAGTACTTGTGGCCTTGCAGACATCAATGACTAGGTCAGAGTCAGCACCTTAACATACTGTACAGTGGTTCAGCCATCTCTCTTGGTAATGTGTTGCCCCAGGTGGTGGGGTGCTTGTGTCCTAAGGGCTATGCTGGGAGGTACTGCTCTGACACCACTAACGCCTGCAAAGGCCAACCATGTTTCCCTGGGGTGTCCTGCACCAACCGTCCCTCACCAGATCTCTTCTCCTGTGGCCAGTGCCCGCCACGAACCGTGCACCAAGACAAGGAGGGCTATAAGTGTTTTGAGAACGGTAAGGAGAAATCCTTCTCACATAAGCACTAAGGGTGCCTTCAAAAAGCAACTAAAGGACGTTTAGGCTGGGCTTCAATGTTCCACTGCTTGAGTAGAATTCAGGAGAAGTCACAATGTTTTTTTTTCCCCAAGGGTCTTAGAAAATATGCCTAGTCTATAAAACGTCTTTATAGCTCATAATCTCATATCCTCAGTTACATGTCCACCTGTCGTATTTTCTCCTAGATTTCTGCCTCCCCCCTTTCCCTTTCCCCTGCCACAGAATGGCAGAGTGCTACAGCACTGGGCACAACTACACCTGCCGCTGCAAGCCTGGCTTCACCGGAGACGGATTCAATTGCACAGGTTGGTCAAACCAGGACTGTCTGAACACCAGTGTAGAACAGCTCACAAAAGCCCAATCGAAACTAACAGAGCCTGGTCTTCCTATCAGGCAATTGACTTGATTCTCAGGCATATATGATGCGTCAATGACAAGCTATAGATAAGCTGCGAAAATGTAAACCATTATTCAATGATAACTCTTACCCTGCAGTTGGTCCTTAGGTGGTTATTGGGATTTGCAAATGCTGCCATTCCTACCTTGTTGTGCTCTCCCCCTGCAGACATTAATGAATGCTTGGTCCCTTCAGCCTGCCCCAGTGCCAAGTTTGAGTGTGTCAACACCATTGGCTCTGTGAAGTGCTCCTGCAGGTATCAGGACACTCAAGACTCAGACAGCTGTGGTACGTGAGTGAGCTCATACGTTGTTTTTTGTAGCTCCTAACTTATATTATCATACTCATATTTACCAAGAGAATCACACATTAAAGTAAGGTACTCAAAAATCACATAGAAGGTGCCACGAGCATGGAAGTGGCTCACAGACTTCAGTCTTATTCTTAAAGAAAAAGTAACTATAAAACTCCTACACCGAATCTTGAAAGTTATCCTGCTTGTGAAAACATAATTCAAATGCATTCATATAAAAACTTCCTCTCTCTCCGTCTTGCAGGTGATTCAGCGAATCCACCAGGTAAAGTCACTAAAATGGTTTATTTAACAGAAATTCCCTCAAAAAAAACATTCTCGAGCAAAGCAAAGCAGTTAATATTAGATTTTTGCAAAATAAGCCATGGCGTAAGCTTGATTAATTTATCAGATAACTTACTATTCTGCAGTCCCATGGTTTTACAGTGCTATTAAATATAAAGTAAAAAGATTTTTGCAGAGTAAACTAAGGCCTTAGTCTCAATGATTTATTATTGTGTAGTATACCTATATAGGTAGTCTTAACAGAATGGATTAATTTACTTTTTTAATAGAATAGACGATTCTGTGGTCCCCATTGAGGAAAATCTGTCACTACATACTGTATCTAGAAATGCTGTTTTATTCTGTTATGTCTTTCCATCCCAGTTAAACAATCATTCCTTTCTTGCCAGGATGGAATATTTTCATCTGCTCTCTCAAATGGAATAAGCTTCTGAGTTCTCCCAACCACCATGTTGATGAAGTAAGGGCTGCAGATTGTGCTGAAGGGTTGCTCCTACTACAGAACATTTACCCACCTACAGGCTGTAAGAATAATTAAGGACACACAGGATAATCCCAGACAACAAGTGGGGAATAAAAGTCAGTTTTCTCTTTCCTGTTACCTTTTGGCTTGACAAAGAGAAAATCCAGAGCCTACCATCATGTCAGGGGATAAATAGGCAGCTGAAGATGTCTTGCTTTTAAAGCTTCACTTTGTAGCAGTGGTAATAAGGTTTAAACCAGCTTCTCAACTTTTGATTTTCTTCTTTTATACCCTCCCGGTTTGTAATTGCCCTCTTTTAATTGAGTCTGATTTAATGATATAAGCTCTGCCCATGCACATCTGCAACACACTTGCTTGTCACAACCATTTGTCATTTCTTATGCTTCAGGCACCACAGTGCCTTGCTGAAGAGCTGGCTCTTACTATATGCTCTTCAAGGCACCTAGGAACTTGAAGAGTTGTGTTACAACTCAAGATTATCCACATCTAATCAAGCTTACTCAATCCTGGTAACTCTTGGCAATTTGTGCATCACTGCTAGGGAAATCCTGGTGACAGTCATTTTATGAAATATCTGGAACTGGCGAAATCTCGACCATGCGGCTCATTCCGTGTTCTGAGCAAGAGCTGTTACTGGTTGAGTAACTTGGTTTTTCCCAGAGACTGGTATCAGTTCTGCTGCTCTTTCCCCCTTGCAGCTCAGCAGTATTCTGTCCACGGGCTTCCAGAACAAGTTCTACAATGCAAGCTGGAAGAGACAGTCAGCCAGCAGCTCCACAGATGAGTACCGGATCAATGTATCCACTGACACACCTCACTGGTATGTGAGAGACTACCTCACACGGGTCAGCCAATTCTATAACATCCACTCTGGAACCATTGCAGTTGGAGGTACTGAAGTGTTCTGATCTTTTAAATTGTATCAACCACTTACTATTTAAACATATTGTTAAGTGCACTTCTGTCACTATGATTATATTAAATCAAGATAACATTTTCGTCTAAGTATTAGGAATTTGTCTAGCTGACAGTGTCATCAAAGTTATTTTATTAATGATAGGTATAATGAAATTCTGTGGTGAAGCCAGCTTTATTCTTCTGTAGTATACAGACACAGGCCATTGTCTATAGAAACTTCATGAACTGTTAAGACATTAGTCATGATGGCCAATACTATTTACCATCCATTGTTAATGGAAACTAAAATAAAAATCAACAAAAGAGTTAAAACACAGAAACTGAACTGTTCATCTTGCAGGACCTGTACACCAGTATTTACACATTCTGTGATTCACAATAAAATGCAAATGTTTGTTCGCAGCAGCAGATAGCTTAGTCAGTGTTTGCATGTGCCTCTTCGGTGATGATGTCTCATGCAAATGTAGGGGATTCAATGTTTTTCAAAATATCAAACGAATTACACATATTACCATGGTCAAAGATGAGTCAAGGCAAAACACACTAAGCCATAGCACAGATGGCTAGCTAAGGTACCATAGTTCAAGGTTGGAAACGACAGCATCAATTTATAAAGGCCTGTTTTCCTAATATGCATGTTGGTGCAAGTGCATTTTGGTTTATTGTTCTTTTTAAATACAGTATTATGTTTGTTGTTGTGCTATTTCTGTCACAGGTTGTTCTCCATGCTCTCTACTCTAGCCAAATATAGCCTCCCAACAGGCTACTGAGAGGGGAACAAGAGGAAGTGAGATAGGGAAGTACTGGTGTTACGAAAGTAAAGAAATAAGGCCTACAGAGCTTGGTGCAATGTTAAAATCATTTTTGCCAAGTGCATTCCAGGAACTACCTTTACAAATTCTTAAGCAAAAGCAGTTTTACTAGACTAGAGACTCAGCCTTATTAAACAAGAGACCCAGCTGCACATAGTGTATATAATAGGAAATGGAACAGTAGGAGGAGGCACAGTGGTAGCACTGCTGCCTCACAGTTTCTGGTTCAGTTCAGGACTGGGACTTCTTCTGCATGCCTTCTGTTATCAGCAGGGGCTCCAGTTGCTTATCAGAAACAAATTTTGCTGAAATTAGTAGATAACATGGTAAACAACAACCTGTGTAGAAAGTGCAGTAAGGTACAAATGAGGATTCCTCTGAAAACTGCATTTTCCTGTGTTTTGGGTCCAGACCTGGATGAATGTCAGTCTGGGGAGGCAGTGTGTGCTGAACCTGCATTGTGCAGAAACACTTATGGTGGCTACAGGTGTATCTGTAATGGGACAGCAGATATTGAGTCAAAATCCTGCACATTAGGTAAGAGCGGGTCAAAGCCCTTAAGTCACATAGTCCTGCAAAGCACAGTGGTTACTGTACGTTGAGTGTGAATGAAGCAATAGCATTTTTTAAAGAGTACTTTTAAACAGACAACAATTAAATACAGCCGCACACTCTGTTGTTACTGAGAACCTGTAATTATTTAGTAAAATAAAATTAAACATGGCAAGAGATGCTACATAGAAGGGGGAAAGTATTTTACATTTAGGTATTTAGTTCCATATATTGTAAGTATTGGAGCATTTTCTTGTATTCTGGCTGTACTCCCTTTAGTACAGGATTTAGTACAGTTTGATAATATTAGCCAGAGATCGTCTGCTATCATACTGTAATCTTGTAATCACAGAAAGGAATTTGTTGTTTTCAGAGCGTGGATCAGATAATAAAACTGTAGTTGTGGAGGTGGCCACCCTCAAGAACAATGACTCACTGATCTTGGGGCTGGTACTGGGCATCGGGATTCCACTGTTACTACTGCTTCTCCTTACTGTGCTGGCCTGCTTATTTTGCACAAGAAAGAAGGCTGCTGGGGGAGGGTAAGTGTTTCACCATATATCGAAATACTGGAATAGTTCAGCTTACGATATCCCATAACAGTGACTTCTGCCTGCTATTAAAACCACACTAACTCAGAATATTGTTTTCTTGAAAGAGCCATATTAAGCTTGTTTCACTGCTCAGGATATGATTATATATATATATGTTTGTGACCCCTAATAAGTTTTTTGTTGACAAGCAGAATTAAATCCCCATGTAGAGTTTCTGCTTCCTAGAATTGTGATACATGTCCTGCTAACTAATATTAATATATCCCATAATGATTTATAATAGCCAGTTTGCTCTCTGCAAAAGCAAAGGCACTGGGTCCCTTGACTCACAAACGAGGATGTTACAGGTTCACAAAAAGGTCAGACCCCAATGTTGTAACGTAAGCGTTCTTTCCGGAACCTATGCAGATGACACTATCCGGGGTAAGTGAGGAAAACACGGGGAAAAAAAGCACGCGGGGTCAGGAATGAAGACAAGGGACGTGTCCATGGTGCGCTGGTGTTCGGGGGAGGTGTGGCCGAGGCAAACAATCCAGAGCTGAGTCCAAAAGGGGAATCCAAGTCGGGGCAAAAGTCCAAAGCCAGGCGATCCATTAAGATCCATTTACGATCGGGACAAATGTGAAGCGCTTAGTAGAGTTTTTCTCTTTTTGGATCACCTACAGTACATTCACCACAGATTCTTTCCACCAGAGGTAACCTCCCTGCAAGACATGAGAGATCAGACGCACACAAGGTAGAATAGGAGGGAGACATAGCACCCATCCATTCTGCTGACATCCTCAGTGGGATTTCATCTCTTTTGTATGAAAGATAATGTCACAATGGTCAGATGTACCGTAAGCTGTTTCAGAATGGGCCTGTTCCTATCAGCAACAGCGGGTAGATGGATGGAGAAGGAACAGAGCAGTAACTTTTCCCTTATTTGCTTGTGACTTAATCCTCTCCAATGTGGTTTTTCCACAGGATTCCTCCAGTGACAACGGACTACATCCCAGAGCATGTGAACCCTCCTCCCTTTAACTACTTGGACCCAGCTCTGCAGTACAAAGTGCACTACACTCCCAGAATCCTAGACATACAGTACTGATCCTCATTAACTGAAGAACATAATTACCTCTAAAGCAATTTAATTTAAAAATACAATCAGATTATGCAGTAATGGTTTAAATGCATAAAACAGGTACATGTTATAAACACTTCTTTAAATGTTTTCTGTCTCTCCAAGTTTGTCATGTCAATAAAATGATCTGCGGCCCGGTGCTGGGCATCAGAATCCCACTCCTCTTGGTGCCACTCCTCACCTCACTGGCCCAAGCCATTTCACTCTTCATTGGTTTCAAAGGGAATGATTCCTGGTCTTGAGTGATTGTCATATACTGACAGGCTAAAGGATCTAAGAGTCTTTGGAAAATCTGCATCCAGTTCTGGATGCACAAGTCTGTCTTCAGGTTTTCATTCCAACTCAGTCTACAGACAGTGTCTCTGTGCTCTACAGACACTGGTGGTTTAAGGAGACAAAATGTCAAGACACAGTGGCCCTCCAGGAAACACATCTGAGAAGTCTAGGCTAGAATAAAGAACAATGAGAGGAAAATAGATTTAATTATATAAAATTGTAAATGGCACTGATAATAGCCAGAATAATGATTTCTTATAGAACATTAGACTGGAAGAATGGTTGTATCAACTGAAGTTTCAATCTTGATCTGCTGGTGCCCAAGCTCCTGTCATTTAATATAAACTCTGGCTGGTCTTGAGCAAGTGGAATTACTTAAGACTCGGCAGTAAAACAAAGACCTAGAATTGAAATTGCTACCATATTTTGGTTGGAGAATAGGAAATCCTTCTTGACACAGTGAACTGAGGGTCTCTGGAATGGATTTCCTAGAAAGATGGCCGAGGTCCTAACTGGGGTCCTTCGGGAAACAGATAGATTACAGTTTAAATTTACATAGCTCCTGATTATCAAACCTGAAAGATGGGCTGAGTGACCTCCTTTATTTTGCAACTTTTCTTATGTTTCCATTCTAAATTGACAGAGGGGTTGGTTGAGGTGGAGAAGCAGAACAGCTCTTAGAATCTCCTGCTCCTGTTTATGCTGTGTTCTTTGATCCCATCTGACTCAGACACTATGATTCACTTGATGATCAGAATGCCAGTTGATTTGCATATGGTGAGCCACTTTTAGTTTTAAGTGAAGGCACATTATTATGCTTCTTTGGAGGTCAGTTTGATATTTATTTAATCCAATATTCCCCAGAGACAATAAAAATTCTAATTTAAGTAAGGTGTGTTTCATGCACTAGACCATAAATGTGAGAGGTCAAGAGCTTATCATTTGTCTGTTGTTTGCTGTTACAGAAAGGGCAGTTTACAGTATGTTTCCTCCTGAGCACTGCTTGATTGCAAAGCAATACAGGAAATATGAGGAAATAGAACACCACCACTGAGACAACGTTGAATGTGCTTGCAGTTCTGTAAAGACTTAACTCCAAATCCATTGTGTGGTCATGTGAAGGCTTTCCTTTTAAATATTCTCCTATAAACTGGAAAGATAAATCATTCGCCAACAAAAACGAACTGAAATGCAATACTGTATATTGCCACTAGATAGCATGAGCCGGCCATAAAGCAGGAAAACATCAATAACACTGTGCTCTTCGGGCATGGCACTCATCTGGGGCTTTATTAAAGATACTTTCTTTACATAACATGTACAATAGCTTTATGCTCCAGGGCTGGAAGCTCTGTAAATTAGGGAGCTATGATTGATTGAATAAAGTATTATCAGTGAGCGATATATCAGATCTCAGCAGATTGTGTGCTGCCCAGAGCAGATGAGATCTCTGCAATTGCGTGACCTTGCAGGTGTGCAATTCCACAATGTCGCTCCCAGATTCAGAGCGGCTCAAGGACAGGCCAAAGCCTTCGTGTGCACCCATCTCTCTCTTGCTATGACAAGCCAGCAGCTCTGAAAAATATTGCAAAACCCCCCGATTTTTTTTTAACTTTAACAGGTAACTTTTATTAACACGATCAAGGAGAATTGATTAAATGTTCTGTCAAGCTTTGCCATTGGGCGGTGATCCTTGCAAGAGACAGATTGCAGTCCATATACTGTATACTTCTCAAATTCATATGCCGGGTAGATAAGAAGAGGGCTTAAAGCCTAAGCACATTTGAACATGTAGACATTTTCAACAGATGTGTCAGGCGATTTGTAACTTGATCTAGCAGACAAAATTACTGTCTCATCACAAATGAAAAAAATAAAGAAAGAAAGTGTCACACGCCAGATGCTGCTTTCCATTATAAAATCAAGTCGTGCGAAAAAGAGAATGTCAGAACCGCAGTGCAACAAGTTGTCCGTGCATCCTTTTCAGGAGCGCTGAACCCCCACGTCCTCTGCTAACTGACCTTTTACGGGTAGAGCTCATCCGCTGGCGACCGTGAAGAAGCTACAACCTACAGGCGCGGTATCCCAATTCAGACGCCACCAGGAACTATGCTTTTCATCCTTTTTTAGTTGGCTTTATTTAAACAGGTTAGGGCCCACGGAGACATCAATTCCCTTTCACAGATGATACCTGTAGGCGGACAGCAAGCAGCCTCACATCTCGAAACAGCTGAGGAATGACATGAAACAACACAACGAAGCAAAATCTCATTCCTCCTTAACAAGACTAGCTCAGGGGTAGAATTACCTTGATCGTTCTCTTCCTCTGATGAGTGTGAATTATATTCAGAACAGGATTCATGGCTACCTGCGGGTATTACGCAGCAGGTAGCAGATACAGCCGAGTGATATTACAGTATTCTTGCGGTTTATTTTAAGTAACTATTCGGCACTTGATATTAACGTCTTTCGGACCACGTGTAAGTTAAGTTTTTTTCCTACGAGCTACACAAGCATTAATACCGTGTTCTTGCATTGGGCTTAAGTATTTTAATCACTATTTCACAAATAAATTCCTCATACCACTGTAATACCAATGCGCAAGCCCTTGGTTTTATTTACAGCACTGGGAGGGAAAATTAGGTTTTCCTCAAAACGAGTTAAACAGTAAGTGTAAGTGTAAACAGTAGCAACATAGCCTCCATCCTGAAAAGGAAATGTACAGTATTACAGGACCCTTTCAAATTTCTAGCTCACATATTATTAAAAACTTGACATGACCCAAATTAAGTTTATCATTAGTTCTATTATTAAAAAATATATTTTAAATTTAAATCATTTAAATCAACATAATACTGGCTTAAATAAAGATTTGAACTTCATATAGATTAGTAAATAACCCTCTTTTTTCACTGCAGACTGTATTCTTGCCTCAAAGAAGGAAGTGCAAGCCTATTGTTGTAGGCTAAAGATGTTTTCTTCAATGCAATAACTTACGCATTGCTTCAGTTTAATACAGCAGGGTGCAAGCTTAACATGATTGTCATTACACAGAGGATTGTGCGTTTAAAAGCTCCTCTGTCAGCTTTCCTTGGTCTTTTATTAAGCACAAGGTCTTGGCCATGTCATTCTGGCCCCTTGCCCAGTATAGTGCAGACCACACTGCACCGTGCCCACTCTGCCATCTTTCAGAACTGTGCTTTAAAATGTCACCCACCACAGCCATGGAGTACACAGTTTAAAATGAACAACACCTGGTTAGAAACTGTGGCACTGAACAGAACGAATTGTCAGCAGTAAGCCGTAACTAGTGAAATATTAAGAGCAGAAGTCTATTTTTAAGATAAAGAGAACACTAATACTAACTAAAACTGTTAATACTAACAATGTTATTAAATAATAACCAAGCAAAACATGTCTACACTAGGGAAAATGTAAGCATTAGAAAGGCTTTGTACTTGCACAGCAGAAAGATATAACTAGGCAGCTTGAATTGCTGAATTTATATTTAAATGCGTGCCTTAAATAGATAAGGAACACCTGGTCACTATCACTACATAATCTTAACAAACCCACAGTTGCATTTTATTTCATTAGAACAACTTGCAACTCCATCTGATTTCCCTGTCCTGTTTCCTATAAATCACAGATCTTAAAGCTCTAAATGTGTAGATGTGAACTTTGATGCAAAACATAATAAAACAAAGATCATGGGGACTATGTAAACTACTTTTAAAGCTGCAGCAGTTAAGGTTGTAGCCTCCTAATACATCATTGATGTTTCTTAAATTTCAGTTGCACTATGCCCAACATTGTGAAACTGCAAAAATGCAGTTGAGCAACTTCTGGGAAAGTCACAATTTCACATCCATTGTGTGAAAATATCGACATTCTTAATTTAATCTGACATACAATGTACAATAAAAATAACAAGTAGCATTTTTTCCATGACAAAGTTTTCAATTGATTAACATTTTTAAAATCCCCATAGAAGAATAAATAAATATCTGATTCCCTATGGACAGCATGGTGTCACAGTGGTTATCATTGCTGTCTTGCAGCCCTGGGGCCCTGGCTTTGATTCTGGATGTGGGGTGCTATCGGCGCAGGGTTTTTATGTGCGCCCCATGTTCCTGTAGTTTTTTTGCCAGATGCTCCGCTTTCCTCCCTATAGTTCAAAGACATACTGGTAGGGTTAACTGGATTTTTGGGACAATTGGTCCTGGTATGAAGGTGTTCATCTGTCTCTGTGTGCCTCGTGATGGACTGGCATCCCAGCCCAATTCTGTTAACGTATGTGTAAGCACATACGTTAACTGAGAAAAAGGTGTATTAACAATGACAACCCTATGGTACTCTCTGATTTTCTAAACCAGCACATTTACTAAAGCTGCTATGAGTAAAGTGCTTTGTTCACAGGCAGAACAGCAGCTTCCCACTTGGGATTTGATCTCCTGGCCTGGAGTCCACTACCCTAATTACCACAGCTCCACGATGTTGCCCTTCATTCACATTCCTGAGCTGAGATTTTATACTAAAAGAACTAACCCATTTTTTAAAATAAATATGACACTGGTTTCCCTCATGTTAATGACAGAAACCGCCCTGTTCATGTTTATGTCAGATCAAATTACAAGACAGGCTTTCATTATCTAAGGCTGCGGTTCCCGACCCTGGTCCTGGTGACCACACACCTGCAGGTTTTCATTCCAGCCCACCTTCATCAGGCCACTGAAGCCTGACTTGATCAAAGAAGCTGCTTTTCAATTTCAAATTTGCATTTTGTTTCTAGTCACAAGTTTGGGATTTTATTT